TTGAGATGTGAAGCATGGTGTATGTTATTGCCACCACTGCAGGTCTATGCTGCTGAAGAAGGAGCTCGATTTCAGCCTGTTTTTGGAAGAGGCCTCTGGTGTTAAAATTCATGACGAGATGATCAAACTTGATGCTTCTTCCTCATAGCATCAAGCATGCAAGCAACTATATCCATCAGCTTGTCCATTCTTGTCAGCATCATCATCACCAATGTAAATAACCTGTTAAAAGTTTAATTTTAAATGATTTGTTTTCGCGAATTGGCGAATAGCCTTCCATCCATTCTCGAAGCCTCCATCGGAGAACTAGGTTATTTACACTCCTGAATATTAAAACAAATCCCCAGCACTGGTTATAGACTTTTTTGAGGATGTTTAACTGTTGTTGTTGTAGTATCGGTGAGGAAAACACAACTGTAGATCCATCTTAGATGAAATATATTTGAAAAATCATTATTTTTATAAATAAATATGTTTTTAGACAATTATCTTTATTACATTACATTCCATAACACGTCAAAGCACTAAATAAGCTGGTCTTATCACAGCTGGCTCTGGTCAAGTTAACACCATTAGTTTTATTTTATGAATATGATATGTTATGGATTGTCTTATTCTCCCTTCTACACGACACACCTTCTACAGTTATAAAACAATATAACAATAAACTGTTATGATATATACTAAAAGTACTCTATAAGAAATTTTACATTGAAAAAAATAAGCAATCTCTAAGATTAGGAAACCTGTAGAATAAAACAAATTATGTTAACTCGACAGAGCAAGCTGTGGTAAAAATCCTCTAAACACATTTTGACCTCTACCTCTAAACATTTATGGAGTTATTAACTCCCCAATTTAATAAATAAAATCATTATTTTGTTGATCATACCGACACCGCAATACGAAGAAACTTAATATTATAATAAATCTCATTAAACTCAAAGGCCTCCTCCAATGTTATTTTATCATTTGAAAGAGTATTGCATGCTGTTTCAACCAACATATGGTTGTGTCGGAGAGATATAGCAATTTTTACTTGTATATACAATTGTTAAATTACATTTTAATGTTTTACGTTTAAATTGTAATATAACTCTTCAAACTCAAAATTCCACTAATATTATTTTTTCATTGGATAGAGAATTCCATCCTTTTTTCACTAATATATGGTTGTATTGAGATATTTGGAGAGAGATTTTAACTACAAGTATTCTTCAATATAGATTAGCATAACATTTCCGCATTACGCAAAGACTTATTTGATTTACATTATAATAAATCTCTTATAACTCCAAGTTTCACAAATATTATTTTATAATCTGACAGAAGATTTGATGCTCTTTTCAGTGGTGTATGGTTGTACTAGGATATTTGGAAAAATATTTAAGTAAGTTTTACTTTCATGTGTAACTGGTAAATTTACTGTATTGGGTTTAAAGTGTAATGAAACTCTTCAAACTCAAAAGCCCACTATTATTATTTTTGCATTTGATAGAGAATTTAGCTGTTATTATTAATATATGTTTGTATTGAGGTATTTTGAGAGAGATTTTAGCTACAGGTAGTTTTAGATATTTTTATCACATTTTGAAAATTTATGTTTAAGAATTTTTTCATACATGATGAAAAATTATGATACTAAAAATTATGATATCAGCAGATTCTATATTAAATCTATGATAAATGAAAAAAATTTGAAAGCTCGTGGTTAATAAGTATTGGTTTTAAAAATGAAAACCAAACAGGTTCATGCTGGTTTTGTGCCCAAATTGTCTTCCCAATTTAAAATATTTCAAAGCCAATAATTCTAAAAATAATCGTTAGAATTGGCTAAAATTTGTCATTTTTACTTACATACATATTTACTTAATATTTGCAAATTTTTATTAAGATTTGAAGGGGTGGGTTATAAATTGATTTTTTTCTGGATGATTTGGCATGGAATGACCTTGTAGTCATTTTTGGTGAAAACACAGATACCAGATAGAAAATAACTATCATAGGAATTTATGCATATTTATATGTGACAACCTTAATGTTTTTTATCCTAATATTTATGTTTTAATAAAAAAATTAAAGCATAAGGTTTCGTTTAAGTAGGTTTCATTATTTTAAACAAAAGTTTTAGTAGGAAACATTAAGTTCATCACTAATAAATACAATTAAATTTCTATGAGAGAGATCTAGAGGGAAACATAGTTTCATAACCACTTTACATGAAAAATCACTATTTTTAATATTTTTATTTTTATAAATAAAATATGGTTTCAGGCAATTATATTTATTACAATAAATCCCATATAACTGAGAAACAAGAAATAAAAGCTTTTCAACAGTTAATTGTAGTTATTTTTGTTGAAAAGGCGGACACTAGATTGAAAATCACATCGTTTCACAATCACATCTTCAGGTGAATTTCAAAGTTTTTTATAACAAACATCAACTTAATTAATATGAACTTAAAGCTCATCAACTGAGAAAGTTTTTTCTAAAAGTGGGGTAACTGTAGTAAAGTTGAAGGGTGATAAAAAAAAAAAAAAAAAACCACAAACAATTTATGACTTTTTTGTAAATTGAACTTAGCTGAGTTTTTATACTGAAAAGTCCTTTTTAAAGGTTGTTAACTCCACAATGACAAACTCCACTTTTATTTGAAGTAATTATTGTCTAGTTTATTCTGGAGCAATGTTAAATAATTTAAATCAAATATTTTTTTAGTTATCCCTTCTTATTCAACAAAAAACATGACACTTAAAAAAAAAAAACTTAAATTTCCAACTTTTCTGCTGGAAATTAGACAATTGTTTATATGAACTTTTTTTGTAGATCTTGATGTCTACTCTGAACCTTTTAAATATTACCCTATTCTTACAGGTCACCCTGTAAAATGAAAATGTTTATTCTTGTTATCGATTTTCATTCAGTATTAATTAAATATTTTATGTTGATCCATTTAATTAATATTTTTTTTGTTCTTTACAATAAATATTTTTATACGAAATGTTAGGTTTTATATTATAGGATTTCAATAATTGATTTGATATTGATTTTCTTCCATTTTTAGTTTTTTTTTTCCATTGAAGCAATTTAATTGTTTTTTCTAATAAATAGATAATATTTAATTGTTGAAATTAAATGTCCACTACGGCCTAATGGTTCCCATTCAAGGAGCTTGTGTCCTGGCCTCGCTCGAAATCAAAGAATTGTTTCCTGAATTCTTTCAAACTGGGTTCTTCCGGATCAAGAAGAAGTCATTTTTTCCTAAGATTCACTGAAATAGGAAAGTCATAGATTTCTGATAATCCCTATGATTCGAAATTGTGTTTTCTAAATAGTTTTATTTTATCTAATTTTTTTTTATTTTGTGTTATATAATTTCATCCAGGTGATTCGTACCCACCTTCAAAATAATAAAACCTAATTTCATTTTATTTTAAAAGAATATTAATATTTAATGAAATGTTGGTCAATTTAATTAAACTTTAAACTAACTATATTTTTTTTATGTTGTCTAAAAAACATAAGGTAATATATATATATATATATATATATATATATATATATATATAAACTGTACCACTACAACCCATGAAGGGTCTGGGATTCAGTACTATTTAGGGAAAGCACCGTTTCTAGGTCAAAGGTTGTGCAAGGAGGTGATTTGACCGAGATCACGCTCAACCGCCAGGTTTTCCCCTTAATCAACCCCAGGTAGTCCCTTAATCAATTATTTTAATTAAGGGTACCCACTTTATAGAGGCTCGGTGAGCCCCAGGAGTGTCTGCCGACCCAGGGTCGCCCCACGGCCAATGAAACAGATAAATAACTAAATTTTCTGTCATGAGCCGGGGTTCGAACCTGGGATCTTTGCATTGGAAGCTCAGTGCCCTACCACTGAGCTGCCCCACTCCCTTATATATATATATATATAAATAGTTAGCCATCCACAAAAGAAATATTTACATAAACTTCAAAATTTATATTACTATCACATTAATTAAATTACAATTAAACCTAATAATTTAATAGAATAAGTTTTCTTCAAATTACATTGAAACTTAATACTGAAAATGAAGAGATGATGTAATAAACTTCCCACAAAACATACTTTCTACTAAACAAATAATACCTCCACATAGATAATCCTAAACTGTTTTAAAATAGGGGAAGAAAAAAACGATATTGTTCAGAATAAAACATGAAGTCCTGCGTACGACCAATTTCAATTTTTATTTTACTTGGAACACCCAATTATATTTCTCATCCGCTCTAGCTGAATCAAAATAGACTCGGCGTTTGAAGCCATAACTGATAACCTTACGTCAAGATATTTTACTAATGTATTCGGAAATATTTTGATGTTTATATGAGCCTAAAAGATCGAATAACCAAAACCAATTGCAAAAAAGTATAATAAAATTATATCTCATTAATGGTCTTATGTATATTATTAAGTAATTTATCACTGTAGTGGAGTGGCTGCATAATATGAGTTAGTTACTGTGGTTGTATAATATATCGCATTACTTACCATACATATATAAAACTTAACCACTAAAATATTTTGTTTATATTTAATTTATAAACATTTCTATAATTAAATTGTTTTATTCTTATTATTTATATTTAGGATATTTGCATTGTTTGTCAGAGATTTATTCAATCATGGCAACCCTTTAGTAGCTTTTCAGCAAAATGTTAGAACTTTGACTCCTACCTTATTTTTAAGTATTTTCATTATTAAGAGAAAAAAAAGAAGACTAATTTACATTAAGAAGGTTATTGAGCTTTTATTTATTTTGGTTTAAAAATAAGAAAATCTATCGTATTTTAGTTTCATATTAAAAAAAAAAAAAATGTCCTATTGAAATAATATTTGTTAAAAAAATAATAATAAAAAAGGCAAAAGTTAAACTTAAAAAAAAAATACTTAAAAGTACAAAAAAGTATGAAATACAAGAACAAAATTGTCTAAAAGAAAAAAATATATGCATATGTAGTGGAGAAAAATATATATTTATTTATTTTTTATATATGTATATATCTGACATCTCCAAAAATCCCATAATCTTGTCCTAGGGACTCTAAAATGGATAGAGAAGACCTTCTCTATTATTTCCTAATAATTGATAAAATAGGACAAAAAGACTCACATAATAAAATATTAGGTATCAAAAATAAATATATACAATATACATATTTCATACAAATAAAATATACAATATATTTTGTACAACTCTTATGAGTTTGAAATGTTGACAGAATAATTTGTCAGCTAATTTGTTCAGAATCTTTGCATGCAGCCTTCTTTTCAAGAAACTTCATCTCATTGATTGTATCCAGTAAAGGGGTGTTTTTGGTCTCTGGTAAGAACATCAAGCAGAATGCACCTAGGAATGCAAGAGAACCACATAGTGTCGTAGGAATCCACCAAGCCTTCTTCCCCTGGAAAAATACAAAAAACAAAAACAATGAATAGACAATATACAAAACACAATCATTAAAATATACAGAGTGTCCCGTGAGAAGACATTTATCTAAGAATGATAGCAGACCTCAAGAGCTACAAAAAACTACAAATAAACAATGGGCCAATTTCAGCAGCAAAGTAGAAGATTTAAATTTTGTGGTTTTTAAAAGTAAGTTAAGCTTTTTGTTGAATAGGAAGTAATAACTAAAGTGATGTTTAATTGAAGTACTTAACAATTGCTTCACTGTAAACTAGAAAAAAATTTCACTGTCGTCAAAACCATCTAAAGGGAACTTTTCAGCGTCTAAACTAAGCTAAGTTCTGTTATTAAAAAAATCTTGAATTATTAGCAATTTATTTTTATTTTGATCATCCTCAAAGTATACTACAGATACTCAAATTTTAGAAAAACTGCCTTGTTTAGTAAGCTTTAGGTCCACATAAAATTTTTATGTTTCATCACGAAATAAGTTAAGTTCGCATCGAGTTGAAAAAAAAAGGAGATGATTTTTTATCCTGTCATGTAAAATACCAGTGTCCTAACAAATTACAAGATAAATCTATCAATACACTTTTTATTTATTAAAAAAATATTTTTATCATCCAAAATGAAAATGTAACTGTGGATTTTACCCAAATCTCAATTCATTTCTATTTATAGGTGACGGATTAAGTTTTTCGTTAAAATATGTTTACCTGCTGATTGCATGAATTATTTTCTTGAAAAAGTAAATATTAGGATTAGGAACATTTAGTTGGTCACCTATAAATAGGAATTCATTTCTATAATAGAGATTTGGATAAAACCCACAATTGCATTATCAATTAAGATGATAAATATTCGTAAAATCATTAGTTTTAACATTTTTTTATGTTTAATATTTAATTTAAGTAATTAACAATTTCTGCACTATAAAGTAGAAAAAAAATATTTCAAATGAAAATAGAGTTTGTCATTGTTGTTAAAGAGGACTTTGGTGTGGCTAAACTAAGCTAAGTTCTGTTAAAAAAAGAAACATATATTATTTTTTTTATCATCATTCAACTATACAACAGATATTTCATATTTAGGAAAACTTCTTCCTTTAGTAAGCTTTATTTCCATATTAATTAAGTTGAGGTTTATCAGAAAAAAAAACTTGTGATTCACCTCAAGTTGTGTCAAAAAACAAAAATTGTGTGATTTTATAATCTGTTACCGAAAAGTATTCGTGTTTTCAGCAAAAATGCCTATAATACTGTTGCAAAGCTTTTATTTTTTGTTTTTCTATGATCTGGGATTTATTATAATAAACAAAATTGCCTAAATGCACTTGTTATAATTATAACAAAAATAATGATTTTTTAAATTGTTTATATGAAGTGTGGTTATAAAACTGTTTTTCATCCAAATATCTATTATAGGAATTGATCTGTATTTATAAGTGTCAAAATTAAAGTTTCTCATCCTAAGTATTACGTTTAAAATTTTAAAAAACCTGCTGATTGCCTCAATTATTTTCATGGAAAGGTAAATAGTAGTTTCAGAAACATTTAGTTTCAAACTAACAAACTAATAGTTTGTCATTAATAAATATGGATCAATTTTTATAATATATATCTAGCTGAAAAACATAGTACATAAACAATTTACCTGAAAAATATTTGAAAATACATTATTTAAAAAATAAATGTTTATTAATAAAAAGTTTATTTTGGCAATTATATTTATTATAATCGATCCCAGATCATGGCAAAACAAGAAATGAAAGCTTTACAACGGTTAATTGTAGTCATTTTTTCTAAAAACATGGATACTTTTAGATGATAGGATATAAAATTATATTTTTTTTTTCACACAACTTGAGATGAATCTCAAGTTTTTCCCAAACAACTTAACTATCATGGACTTATAGCTTATTAAACAATAAGCTTTTCCAAAAGTTGGGTATCTTTAGTATAATTGGATAATGATAAAAAAAGTTGTGAATAATCTTTTTTTTTTTAAACAGTATTTATCTTAGTTTTTCTGCTCAAAAATAGTTTTAACAATTAAAAACTTTATTTTAATTTAAAGTAAATTTTTTCTACTGTATAAGGAAGAAATTGCTTATTTCTTAAAATAAATATTTCTTTAGTTTGACAAAAAGTGTAATTACTTAAAAAGCATAAAACTTGGATTTTCTACATTGCTACTAAACATTGAATAATCATATAAACAATGTTTATATGAACTTTTTTGAAGCTCTTGGGGGTCTGCTATCACTCCTATAAAAAAAAAAATCCCTCTATTTACAGGACACTTTGTATATGTAATAGTTTTTTTTAATATAAATCAATGAAGTCTTTTATATATTTATGTACTGACCAATATGTCCACTATATATGGTGCTAGCAGGGGTCCCAACTGTGCCATGGTGAGGCAGCTACCCATGGCAGTGTTGCGACTTTCTGTTGGAAACAGTTCTAAAGTTTGAAACATGATAACACCGTTTGCAGCAGCTCCTGCTAGCCTTCCAATAAAAGTCACAGCCATGACTGGCCAACCTAATCCATAAAGGGATTGTGGTCATTAAAACAAAAGATAATTATTATAATATAAATCATTAAAAAAAAATAGTTATAATTAACTATAGTTTGCATAACTCATACTTTTAAACATGATTAATTTATTATTATGAGCTAAAACGTACATTACAAATAAATTAATTTGAATTAGAAGTTAAAGCTGTTAAGCACAGTTTAAATTAAAGTTATTGAAGTAACAGAGAAGCTCGATTTAAAATATTTCATTTAAATAAACAGACTACAAATAAAATCAAAGAGAGTTTTTTGTCTACAAGTTACTTAGGTAAGGTCCTTGGCCCAAAAGGGGACAATGTTGTTAGTGCACTGCCGGCTGTCATAAAGATAAGGACTGTCAGTACAAAGGTAGGCACAAGATCCTAACAGAATGACATGAAGTCAGATGATTGAAGAGTAAGGCAGTCTTGAACAACATTCAGCTTGGAGACAACAGAGGGGCAGGTCATGAAGAGAAGAGGTCAAGCCTGGGGAGGGTCCCTTGGAGATCAGATGATAGTCCAGAGAGGAAAGCAGCTAAGGATATTGGAGAGGGGCACCTAGAGTCCAGAGGAGAGGCAACTCGAGATACCGATGACACCCCGCAACATGAGGAAACAGATAAATTATAACATGTTAACTTGTGTTGGCAATCAGCAGAAGTAACTTCAATCAGTGCTATTCTCACTAGCATTCTCCTAATATGTTTTCCAAGATTAAATCCTGGTTCGTTATTAATATTTCTTGCATGCCACCATTTAGACATAGTAAATTGGAAACATAATACAGTTGGAAAAGAAGTCTAAAAGAATGTTATTCAATGTAGGACACTACAGTAGGGAATCTGGTATCTAACCTTTAAAGCCATAATTGAAATATTTTTAATTAGATCGGTTCCCTTCTGGAACCGTTATAAATACAAAGAGAAAAGTAGAGCAAGCGAGAAAACCCACACGCATGCTTCACCCTGTCTTGTGGAACAAAAGAATTCCAGAATTAGACAAACGTATAATATACCAGAATAACGTATGCAGCTAAGATCTAGACTACGCCATCCCTGCTCTATTCAAAGGTACAAACTTTAGATTTTTGGAAGAGATGCCTAACAGTGACAAGGATGGATAGAATAAGGAAGAAAGTTGTTAGGGACAGAATGAAGGCTATGTCTATGTCCATCAACCAGAGATTGGATGGCAAAGGTTGATGTGGAACGGCCATGTAAGACGAATGTCTATCATGCGATGGCCTAACTGAATTCTTGATTATGTTCTTCTGAAAGACGGGGGTAGGGATGACTGAGAAATAGATGGATGCATGAAGTGGAAGAGGAGATGGCTGGCTGGATTCTTCAGGATGGGGATTAGCTTGACCACGACCTCTGCAGCCCTGCAGACCTCAGCCCTGATGTGAAAAGGTAACACTCATTGAAATGCCAATAATCATCAACTTATCTAAGATGATATGTCTTCTTCTATTATATATTTACAGATTTACGTCTAATTATGTAACAATAATATAAGAGTATTATTGTTTTAACTTTTACTTGCTGGTTTTTATCTCATTTTTTTTCTCTGATGAAGGCTTAAAGCATAAACTGAAACATTAGTATCCAAGAAAATTCATGTTTTTATTTGTGTATATTTTCATCTTTATGACCACAGCCAAATTCTACTATTTGTTCTATATAGTAGCAGATTCAGAATTTATGTTTATTTTTTTTTCAACTGTAATTATACTGGAAACAAAAGTAAGGTACTATACAAAATGATGCCTAAGTGTTCTTAGAAAACGGTAATTACAGTAACAATTATGCTTTTAAGGATAAATATTTTCTTGACAATTGCTTATATTTAATAGCTACACATTTGTTTTAATTTAAAAAGAGAACATACTGTGATTGTTTAAGTATTTAGCTCAGATAATTTGATTGATTGTTGTTTTTTGAAACAACCAATCTCAACTATGATCTTTGGCTTCCAATAAATTTTCATATGAAAAAACATATCTCTTTCTCTAAAACCGTTATAATTATTTTCTGAATAAGTAAGGATAGAAGTTAATTTTATAAAGAGATAATTTATTTTCTTCATTATTCTGATTAAGAATGGCCAATAAATCTTCATTGGTAGCAGTCGTGGTGAGTGAATTTACCATAAATGTGTTAATGATGATTTTATTGATAAAATATGTTTGACAAGACATTTTAAGTTTGTTTAGGCTGAGATAACAGAACAACTGATATTCGCTAGAATGACCTTAAGATAAGGTATTTGCCAAAGCATCCACTTTAATAATCACAAAAAAAAAGAAAGAAAAAACAGATATGAAAGGCCTTTAAAGCCCACAAATATAGTCAGCTTCTAATTTATTTTTTTCTTGATTTTAATAGAGATTCATTGAAAACTACAAATATTTTTATTATTTTATTTTTTGCTAGCTATTCCAAAGCATGACTTATTCCATCTTCTAACTGATAACATCTCAATTTTTTAAAGTTTTATTTACAAACTTTATTTTATTCATGAAATTTATCAGTTTTGTCTGTCAATTCCTCATGTAATAGTAATCTAACTATTGAAAATGGTTTATTAATAAAAATTGTATTCAACTGATTTTATATAAGATATTTTGGAATAAAGTTAAAAAATTGTCACAGACAAAAGTAAAAATGAAGTTGATTAATATTGATGTGAAGTCACAGCATTTTAAAATTTAAAATGTACATTTAATGTTAAGGGAGGGTCAGAAGCATTAATAGTTTAATTTTAGGCATGAATGCTTGTTATTAACTTACCAAACCAAAGTATCTTAATGTTCTATTAACAAATAAAAAAAAAAAAAAAAAGGAAACAAGAAATTAAATCAAATTTAAAAATATCAATTAGTTATATATGTTTAACCAAAATTAAAATGATAAACATCACTTGATTTATAAAAATTGATGGTAGTTTTAAACTGAAGTTGGTAAATAGTTGTGTCAACCTACTTTCAAAACATACATAATGGTGTAAATTTGAAAATAGACTATTAAGAAAATTATATAATAATAATAAATTAAGAAATATTGAATATTTAATAGTTGACCGTTGCATTATAAAGGAAGGAGATGGTCCGGGGTGGCGGTCATAAATAGGCTAAATAGTGGCAAAACTATGTTAATAAAAGCCAACTTTTCGACACAACTTTGCTGGTCTTCTTCAGGGCTAGAACTGACAAGAAACAAAAAGATAGAAAATTGTGGAAGTTACATTATATTTAGACGAAAAATTATAAACAATGTGAATAAGCTTATTAAAATTATAAACAGTAAGTACATTGAAATATAAACTGAGTAAGCTAAGTAACAAGATCCTAAACTGAAGTAAATAGATGGTAACAATTGTAGTGTAATATATAATATATGCAAATCTTGTCAGTTCTAGCCCTGAAGAAGACCTGCAAAGTCGGGTCGAAACGTTATCTTTTAATAAAATAGTTTAAAATAATTTGTGACCTCCACCCCGGATCATCTCCTTCCTTTAAAATAATAAATAATAATTCATTCGTATAATAAATCAAAAAATAAAACCATCTTAAATTGTTTTAAGGAACTAATAATAGATAGAATAGTAAATAGACGATTTACTTTGGAACTATCATAACAAGCAATTGAATATGCATGGAATAGGTTACAAAAAGAAAATATTACCCTGTGGTAACATAAGTATTACAAACATAGGGATGCCAGAAATAATCAGCAACACTATTCCACAGCTCTTTCTACCAAAGTACGTTAACAACGGAAGAGGAAGCAAGAATCCTGGAATTTCTATGACTCCATTCAGTCCCATATAAATGTACTGATTGACATCAAAGTTTGATCCGCTTAGTGCTGAAAACAGAGTGATTAACTTTAATAAAATACAAAACAAATAACAAGAAAATGGTTTACTTTCTAGCAGCTACAGATAATTTTATACAAAATCATTTTAAATGTTTTACTGTGGTGAAGAACATCCAGCAAGCTACAAAGGATGCAAAGTTTATAAACATTTTTATAAGCAGAGAACTCAGATCATAGCCTCGAAAAGCGTAAAACTGACCCAAGAAAGTTTTACCCATCTACCTGAAATTGATAATCCATCAGATTTTCCAGAATTGCCAAAAACGACTACTCAAAATACACAGCTAGCGTCTACTTCAAAAGAAATTGATCAACCTCAGCAGGACTTCAACCTCAGCAGAAAAACACCAATCACTACGAAGAAGCAGCAGCCTCGAATTCAGGCGCCTCAAATCTCCCAATGCAAACCTCAACCTCACAATCCCCAATCTCATCCTCCACGTCAGCAAACTCTCCCTCATCATATACCCTTACGAGTCAAATAACCGCCGCAGCATCCTCAACAGTTCCATCCTAACGCCCAGAAAAGAAGTGCAGCACAGGTACCTTCCAATCTAGACCCACCTCGTGCACAACGACGGATCCCGCCCTCAGCTAATATTCCTAATCCACCACAATAACCTATCCTGAATCCAATTCACAATCAACATCCATCTGATATAACCTCCATTCTTTCATCCTTCCTATTGGACCTCCAAAATACCATAAAACCACTTATCACTCTTCTCACCAGAATCCTGACCGAAATTCCATTCAATTTCCCACGATGAGCACAAAGCCCCTAACTATCCTTTTATGGAATGCTAACGGACTAAATAACCACCGTGACGAACTTGACTTATTTCTTCATAATAATAACATTGACATTGCTTTACTGACTGAAACTCACTTTACTAAACGAATACATTTCTACATACGTGACTACTTCACTTATAGAACTGATCACCCAGATAATACCTCCCATGCCGGTTCTTGCATCCTTATACATAAATCATTACCCCATTCCCTTATTCCTTCAACTCCAACTGATAACATTCAATCAACTTCTGTAGTCCTTCCACTCGCCCTTTCCATCTCACATTCTCAGCTGTATACTGTCCTCCTGGTAATTCCCTCTCCTATAACCTACTTGATACCTTATTCCAATCCCTCGGATCGCGCTTTATTGCTGGAGGAGACTACAATGCTAAACACCAACGATGGGGTTGTCGAACATCCAACCCCCGCGGTAACATCCTATCACGTGTTTCAACTTCCAACAATTATTCAATCCTTTCGCCCATGAGTCCTACTTATTGGCCAACATCCCTCAAAAAACGTCCCGATATTCTAGATATATTTATAACTTCCCAGATCTCCTCCTCACAAACCATAATCAAATCCCTTGATGACCTTTCTTCAGACCATAGTCCAGTTCTGCTTTCACTACATTCGAGCTATGCTCCTAAACCATCAACTCCTAAATTGATTACAGGACGAGTAAACTGGGACGAATTTCGTGATAATTTGGAAAACAAACTAGACTTAAAAATTTCGCTAAAGACAAAAGACGACATTAATGGTGCCATTGAAAAACTGACAGCGTCAATAACAGACAATATAAATAATAATACTTTTATCAATAAGTTTAACAATTCACAAAAGACTGACTTGCCACAGCATATTCGTATCTTATTGAAGGAAAAACGCTGAGCAAGATCGAAGTGGCATAGAACCATATATCCAACAGATAAAACTCATTATACCCAACTGACTAACAAACTAAAATCAGAAATTAAAAAATACAAAATTCAAAATTTACTAAATTTTACTGAAAAATTTACACCTACCGACAAATCACTATGGACAACCACTAAAAGGCTCCTGAAATTTAAAGACTGTAATCATCCGCTTCTTACTGAAGCTCAAACCTGGTCCAAATCCGATGAAAAAAAATCACAAATCTTTGCTCGTCACCTCTTAAAAACCTTTAATCCACACCCCGATATTCTTAACCCAAATCACCTTGAATGTATTGAAGCAGAACTGGATATCCCACTCCAAATGTCTCTTCCACCTAAAGCCTTTCATCCTTCAGAAATATCCGACATCATTCAAAGGTTACCTTCCCGAAAAGCTCCTGGACACGACCTAATTACATCCCAGATCCTAAAACTCCTTCCTCGGAAAGCCATTCTATTCCTTACTTATATATATATAATGCTGTACTGCGATCAACATACTTTCCTGACCCTTGGAAATTCTCTATTATCAAAATGATACATAAACCCAAAAAGCCACCAGAAAACCCATCCTCTTATCGCCCTATCTCCCTTTTACCCATCCTAGGCAAAATCCTGGAAAAGCTCATCCTAAAACGCCTGTACCCAATCCTAGATTCTAATCACATTATCCCAGATCATCAATTTGGATTCCGCAGATCCCATTCCACTATCCAGCAATGCCATCGTTTGGTGGATGTCTCCTCTGCATTGGAGCGCGGAATGTACTGCACGGGAGTCTTTCTCGATGTAGAACAGGCTTTTGATCGAGTCTGGCACCCAGTACTGCTTTACAAACTCCGTAAATTCTTACACCCTACATACTTCCTCATTATCCGTTCCTATCTTACTGATAGATCCTTCAAAGTAAATCATAATAATGCCTATTCATCCCTTTTTTCTCAGTCCGCTGGTGTTCCTCAAGGTAGTATCATAGGTCCTATCCTTTACACAGTTTATACAGCTGATATCCCAACCCATCCTAACACAGTCATTACCACGTACGCCGATGATACATGTGTCCTATCAGTTAATAACGACCCAACAATTGTATCCCAAACCCTTCAATCACACATCACAAACCTTGAAGAATGGTGTCAAAACTGGAGAATAAAAATAAATTCCAATAAATCCCATCAAATCACCTTTAGCCTTCGTCGTAAACCTATGCCCTCTTGTCCTACAGTATCCTTTAATAATACCCCACTTATTCCTGTTGAACAAATCCGATACCTAGGACTCCACCTGGACAAACGACTAACTTGGAATCCTCATACTAGACTGAAACGACAAGAAACAGCTCGACGTTTCCGACTACTCCAGCACTTACTAGATAAACGCTCTAACCTCCCAGTCAATTATAAAAGACTCATATACATGACTACAATAAGACCTATTTGGACTTACGGAGTTGAGCTCTGGGGCTCCACTAAGCCATCGAATTCCTCTCGTATTCAATCCTTACAATCCAAAATCCTTCGTAAAATCCTCACTGCTCCTTACTTTGTCACAAACAAAATCATCCATAACGACCTTAATGTTCCTTATGTTTCTGACTTGGCCCAATCCAGATACCTATCCTTCCATAACAAACTTCAGAGCCATCCAAACCCTCTCGTTTCTAACCTTGCTTCCTAAGGTTAAGAAGATGGCCTCGAGATCTCCTTTTGTAAATACATTTTTAGAGTGCTACCAATGGGTAGTTTCTCAACATGTGATGTCATGCTATTTTATTCCTTTGTTCACATTTACTGAATGTATTTTTACTTGTAATACAGTTGTAAATATCACCAATAAAAAAAAAAAATGTTTTACTCATTGGATAATATTTTTATGGCATGGGTCGATTCCTGCATGGAGACATTAACATTCCCACCCTAAGATTCATAGGAAGGGGACTGTGATATAGATATAGATCTCTATATCTAACAACATGGTTCCTTGGTCCTCCAGATTGGGAGTTGGGCACAGGAATAATTAGCCTATTCAGTAAAAAAATAACAGGATAGAGATGTCTGCAAAAGGTTGCTAATCATCCTGATGAAGAAGGAGTTATTTATGATTGCGCCCGGTTATTATAAAACCACATGTTCCCTGGATATTTATATAAGAGAACAAAACGATCACAGCTAATCACCTAGAACAACCCCAATGCTGTGAGAAAACTAATGTCAGAAGTCAAAAGAGTTAAGAGAAGTTTAAAAAAAATATATATAAATAATATTTGCAGACATATAAATAATATTTATAACAATGAAGAGATGATGGCTCATTTCCACTAAATGCAGTCTTATGTAATCTTGAGGTATGCACCCCTCTCGTGGAACTTGTTCCTTACTAACCGATAAAAGAATGGATAGCCTTTTATCCAGAGGACATATACCTTCAACTCTGTCATAGGGTACAAGACAATGGCTTATAAGCCAGTGCTGGTCATAGCAGGAGGAACCCTCTCAATCTCTTTTCTTTTCTCTTCTTTATTTTTTTTTTGTTGGCCTAAGACTCCCACTGAAGTCTTATACTTCAATCATCTTGATACAGAATTTATTTTTACAGAACAAATGCACAACAGGGATTCCTGAGAACCTTGGAGTGAGCATCACAGGCGGATTTACGGGGGGCTTTGGGGCTGAAGCCCTCTCCCCAAAACGGTAAAACCTAACCATGTTTTATAGAAAAAAATATTAAAAACTATCTTTTAAAGTATTATTGTTCGTGTAATTACATTTAATAGGACTTCAAGAGTCACTTAAACACCATTTCATATAGGTAGTTCATTTCTTTCTTCTTTTTTTTTTTCAAATTAATTATCGTTATATATATATATGAAAAAAACATCTTTCGGGCTGAAGCCTCCCCCCCCCCTCAAAATTAAATCCTGGATCCGCTAGTGGTGAGCATTGAAGAACATCCTAATAGACGGAATCTGATGTTATAAGACACTACTCAGGAATGGAAAAGATGGTGTGTCACTTGGTAGGTATAATCCCTAAGAGCTATCCTAAGGAAGCATTTTTTAATCGTACAGCTCGATTAGCTTCCAGATAGATTCCTTTCCTCTGACTTACCTGACTATTAGATCTTTTAAATCCTCAAAGAAAACGGAGACTTTTGTGGCAAGTAGTACAAAGTTGATAAAGAAGTATCCCTCCCATGCTCGCAATTTGAAAAAAAAAATAGTATGTTCTGGGTATTCTGTTATACGCTTCCCCTGGTTGGAATCTGAATAGCTCGAATCACAAGAAGAGCAGGTTGATTTCACTATTTTCTCTGAGTTAATGAGTGTGGAAAATTACTCGTACTTCAAGGATTTCCTGTGCGGGTAAAAAACAATTATAAGGCCAACTCGCTTCTGCTTGAGAAGAAGAGGTGTTGCGGTAGGAAGGCCGCCGGACACAAGAGGAGCAAATGAAGACGGTGGCAAACCTAACGAAATACGAACAAACTGTGTGCACTGTTGAAGAAAATAATTTTTATAGTTTATTGTTAAGCAATCATGCGTAACATCTTAGGACTACTAATGTAATAATCAGGCATAGTGGAATTGTAAACTAATAAATAAATATTTGCATACTTAATATTATGCAAGTTATAAGGTATGCTTTAATTTTAGAAAATACTAAATTGAGAAATAGCTTTCTTTGGTGTAAGAGGCTCCTTGATTGATTGCTTAAACGCCCAAATTCTTTAGTTACCCTTTCCAGAGTACAGTTTAGTGTCCAGGTCTTGCTGCAGTATATCAGAACCAAAAAGGACCGAGCAGGTAGCAGCAGCTGGAGAAGGAAGCCAGGGAGAAAAGAAGGCACTCTAGGCTGGGACAGGAAGTAAGGAGGTTGTCAGAAGAGAGAGGCACTGAATTGAAGATTAAGAAAATTAAGCCTAAAGTTATAAGACGCAATTAGCCGCCAAAACAGGTTATTTATAATTGCCGCCAAAAAAATATGTATAATTAATCCTTAACATGGTATTTACACACCCATGAAAGAAAGAAACAATCTATATTCGCCTTTATTATACGGTATTTCATCACAAATACATAAAATACAAATACAAATATAAATATAACATCTTGTACTTCACATAGCTTATTCAGTAAGGGTTTATTTATCAACGATTCTGTACCCTGGAGGTAAAGGACACATGCCCATTTTTTTATTAAATAATTGAGTAACTAAGAAACAAATTTTAATAGCTAAAAATTATGAAAAATTGGCTCCGTAAACTAATATAAAAATATGAAATGGTTTTCTTTACCTCCAGAGTACAGTTTTACTAACTAAGACACAAATTTGAATAGCTAAGAGTTATGACAAATTGGCTCCGTAAACTAATATAAAAATATGAAATGGTTTTCTTTACCTCCGGAGTACAGTTTTACTAACCAAGACACAAATTTTAATAGCTTAAATTTATAGAAAATTGGCTTTCCTGAACAAATACAAAATGGACATAGTTTATCTTTATCTCTGGGAAGTAAAGATAAAATTAATAAATAGAATAAGAATAAATAACTGTTTAATAATTGTTATTTTACCTAAATCGAAATAATTCAAGATAAATCAAAAGTCACTTACCTATTAGGTAGTAATACAAATTTCCTAGAAACCATAAATAATAACAGATCAGAGTTCTTTTAGCCAGCTCAAAAGTAGAAAAAAGTTTTAAGTAATCTTTAAACAAAAAACACCAATTCTCGCTGCGTGAATCAGATCGACCCTGAAAATAAATTCGATTACATAACGGATAAAATAGTAAGTCATATTTACTGCTAGTAGAAGAAATTAGATAACAAAATACTTTGGAATTTAAATGGGAAACTTGTTCGGGATCATTAATACCCAAGCGTTCCACACTCCCTAGGATATGTGATGCTTTCTCTAGTTTTCCAGCAGTGATTAACCACCTTGGTGATTCTGGCATGAACCTCAGATAAAAATAAAAACATTGAATTTAGAAAAAAAAACTTTAGGTTTATTATTACTCATTTATAATTACTAGATAAATATGCAATGAAAAAATAGTACTTGGTACCAGCAATGAATAAGGAGCAAAAACATTGGAATCGAAATCGCTAGTTGAAGTTGTCTCCAGTTATTGGTCAAATAAGCCGCCAGAGGGAGATACATAAGTCCAAATGAAAATGCTACGTTGAACATATTGCCTACGTAAGCTCTGTAGTTCTTCACTGTTAGTTCCAGCACTGCAAAATTAATTATTCACTACAGGAAAAAATGAACTATCAAGTGAAAAATATGATAGCTATCAGGGGTGCCCAGAAAGGGGTTTCATGGCGCAAGTTCGCCATCAAAATTTTTGAGGGGGGCAAATTTCGACGGAGTTATGAATTTTCGGAGTAAGGAACAAGGGGAAAAACAAGGAACATACCGCAGCAAGTGTAATTGTATCTGATCTACGGTTTTTCTAATTGTACCTTAGCTTGCTTTGTTTTTAGAAAAAGTAAGCAATAAAATATCTCGTGAAGAGGGGAGGGGGGGTCGGAAAGGTTCTTGCACCATCGACCTTGGGGGAAGGGATGATGGGCACCCCTGATAGTTATGAGTGATTAAAACTGGAATTCACTGCATTTCCTCAATAGGAGCACTAATGCTCTTATGAACTTATTTTATTATTATGTGGCTGGTAATCAAAACTTATATTTTAGCTTAAAGAAATACTTTAAATTAAATCTACTTACAGAGTGTGTAACCAGTGTCGTAGACTCCAGAACCAGCGAGTCCTATCAGTAGTCTAAATAAAATAAACGCTGCGTAGTTCGTTAAGAATGCTGCGGAAGGGCCTGCTATCATATAAAGTATTGCTGAAAATATAAATGTCCGCTTTCTTCCAAACCTAAATTAATTATCTCTGATCAATCTCCATAATATGTCTGGCATTGTATATTATATTAAATATGTAACCCGAAGGTAAAGGACAACATGTCACACTTTTCTATTTGTTCAGGGTAGCCAATTTTCTATAACTTTGAGCTATTAAAGCTAAAATCTTAGTTAATAAATCATCAGGGGGCAGGGTAGCCGAGTGGGCCAACGCTTGTGCCCCCAGCAACCTGATAACTAAAGTTTGAGATAGAAAAATGATAACAAGTTCAAATCTCGATGCCCGGTGGGCTGGGTGGCCGAAAGGGCTAAAGCGTGTGCATAGCACCGGCAACCTGACATATGAATCTAATGATATAAAAATAGTCACGAGTTCGCGTCTCGGTGCTGGGGGAGTCTTTTAAATCCCCGTCCACACTCCCTGGCCCGGGAAAACCCCGTATAGCCTTAAAGGCGAGGAAGGGGAGAACCCAAAAAAAAAAAAAAAACTCGATGCCCGGTGGGACTTTTAACTTTTAACCCTCTCCTCCACCCCAGAAACAAACCCGAGTAACCTAAAATACAAGGCGAGGGAGACCAACAAAATTACTAAATTATTTAATAAAATATGGACAAGGATTCCTTTACCTCCGAAGCCTTAAAGCGTTAACAAACAAATTAACATTAATTAATACAGCTAATGTCTTGATTTTTTTTTAAGTTCAAGCAAGGATCAAAACTAGTTTTTCTAAAAATTAGAAATTTTTCTAATTGTGATTTTAGCGTTTGGATCAACTAACTGTGATAATTTTTAAGAAATAAATATTTCTATAATGGTTTGATGATTTGTTTTGTATATTTCGTACGACTAAATTTTAGAAAATATGCATATTAATTGTACAATTGTTTAATTGTGTACTTATAATTACAGTTCAATTGAGAATTTTTTTGTCTTTAACTTTATTTTTCCATTCACACCTGTCAAAAGTTTAGACAACCAGCGAATGTGATGCGAGATGTATTAGTTGAAATAGGCGTGAGGGAGAGGTGTTCCCAGCGGCGTCCTTCCTGTCTGGAGAATAGTTTAAATTTAAAACGACATTTGCAGTAGATTTAGGTTTAATCGGTTTCACTATCGGGTTTAAATTTTATTTTTGAGTGCTTACGTGAGTGGTTTTCACAATATCTAATAACTCAGCTCAGAAGAGCTATAGAAGTCATCGAACTTCAAAAACTGAGGGAAGAGGGGGGGGGAACAATACTTTTTTGTGGATTTAAATGATACTTCTTAACTACAAAAAATACACATAATAGTTTTTAAATCCATAAGGTGCAGATGAAGATATATGTAAAAATTCGAAAGCCGAGAAAAAACTTTGGATTGCACTTTATCATTATATCAATAATATCATTCTATCCAGGGAAAAAAACCATTTACCAGATATATACTAATATATATATCAGACAGAATCCGAAATCGCCTAAATAGTGTAATAGGAGTTGGCTTGATTTTGCAAAATTTATTATTTTCGAGGAAATGTGACAAAACCAAACAAGTTTAGATACACATAAGTAGTTAAATGAATTAATTTTGAGATATTTAAAAAAATAATCGATTAAAAAAAATTTAATATTTGTTTTGTTTTGAGTTAAATAGATTATTTTACAACACAACTGTTAAAATAAAAGTAGTAAAAAATTAAACATATAGACCATTCAACCAATATATCACATATATAATTATTTATAGATATGATTCCTAACCTGTCACTTATGAGGCCGAAGAAGACAGCTCCACAAAATTTTCCTATAGCCACGGTGCTCTGAACTGTTGACCTCAGAGGCAAATCATCACAAACAAGATCCCACTATCGATATGAAATTAATTAATCAATTCCGTATAATTGGTAGACAGTATAATTTATTGTCAAAATTAGAAACAACAAGTTTTTTTATAGTCACATTTATTTCCATTTGGTTCTGAGACGTTTCGGTGCTCTGCACCATATTCATCTAAAGTGAATGGAATTAGCTTGAAAAGGTATATAGAAACACTGCAGAATCCTATGTGTGTGGCAAATTGAAAAAATAATGTATTTTGTATATGTAATAAATTATATATGAATTGTACATGTATGAAAAAAAAATTAGATGAATATGGTGCTGAGTACAGAAAACTCCGAGAACCAACTGGAAATAAATGAGACTGTACCGATAAAAAAAAATGGAGTTGTTTCTGATTTTCACAATTAATTAATTCTTATACATATGTGTTTTTTAATAGTGAACATAATTTTTATTTTCAAAGCACGCAAATTATATAAAAATATTACACGCACAAGAAATATTTTGGAAGTAATATACATGGTGTACCGTAAGTACAGGGAAATATTTGTAGGGAATAGAAATAATAAATCCGGATTAGTTAGATATATTGGACATACATTAAAAATGTTAGTATACAGTGACGCAGAATTTGGTACTCCAAAACTTTGATTCTGAGTTTTTCCTTTTAGGGAACTCATTTCTAAGCTACGCTGCCATTTACAGTAATTTGTCTCAGATTTTGACAAATTTTGTAAAAATCAGCGTTCGTTGACCGTGTTTTTTTTTTTACTTAACCTAATTATTAAGTTTAGGTACTCACTCATTCGACGAACAATTTAACTTTCTTTAATTTTTTAAAAAGTACATTTTCCTCTTCGATACACCGTTTAGGTGTTGTACTGAAAAAAAAAGATTGAAAAAATATGACTTTTTGGCTGTAACATATTGTCTCTTGATTGGTTGCGTTAGCAATTTCGGTTGCTACATGTTTGTTGAACCCACATACACAAGTTAACAAAATAACGTTTCCCATAATTTTCACATCATATTTTCCCGTTTAGATCCTCAAGTTTCTGGCTTAATATTCTTTAAATCAGGCACCATTATTGAAAACAGCGGCTCTGGAACGGCAGACAAGGTTCATTTTAATTAGAATAACATAAAAATTCGCAATTTTCATTCAAGCCTCCGCCTGGGATGAGGTCGATTTTTTGATCATATTCTTATATTCTTTTATATGACTATATTCATTATAATGTAAATTTCAAGGCTAATTCATAAGTCAATATTATACTGTGATAAATTAAGTATAATTAAGTGTAATCATTTTTTAATAACATGATAAACAAAGATGATTACTTCTTATCATTTTTAGACATATATGCAATGTTTAATTTATTTGTTTATTTTGTTAAAATAAAACTAGGAAATAGCAATAAATTATATGATTTCTTTTCTAAAAAAATTAAAAATACCATTGGCCTCAGTGACCTGAGGATTTATTATTTTTTATAATACATTATATTTGAAAACAAATTAATTGATTGTATTGAAAACGGAAAATGTGTTAAATAAACAGAACGTTACCAGTGAGAGGTTCAGTATTAGGTAAAGGAATGTGGCAAAGGCAAATTAGCCCAAATGATTTAATTTTTATTTTATATGGTAAGGTACCTTTGTATATAGACTATAGACGATAAAAATAATTTATATTAACTATTATAAGGCTATGATGTAAAGTAAAAATAACGTAGAACTTAAGATGAGATGTGTTTTAGTATTATAAATAAACTGATAAAAATTTTCAAAAATAAAACCACTTCATACTTCACATTCCACAATTACATCACATCTTTTATAATTTTTATATTTTGTTTAATCAGATTTCGTTCAATCCCTTTTTATTTATTTATTTCAATCCATTTCTCTACCGAAGTAGTTTATTTATTTATATATTTTCTCTCCGAGGCATCTGAAAATGATCTACTTATGTAAATATATTATTAGAGTGCTACCAATGGGTAGTTTCTCAACAAGCTGTTTCGTGTATTATTACTGTGTGCACATTTACTAGTTGTATTTTTTTATAGTATAGTTGTAAATATCAATGAATAATAAAAAAATTTATATTTAGTTATTTTTTTTAATATTAATTTTATATACATATAAATGATTAGTATCATTTTTTATGTATAGTCTTATTTATTTATAATTTTTTTAAAATTTATTTTCTTTCTTTATTTTTTATGCTTCTACATTAATTTCTTGATACTGGTATTATTTTATTGAGCGGATGCTGATTTCCTAGATGTTTTGCGCTTACACTATCGAGACAACTAACCAACATTCAACGTTTTCAGCTCTTTGACCATTTTCAAAGCAACTAATAGACAATTAATATCGTGGCAAGGACACTTTAGCCCATATGGTTTCATTTTTATATAAAAATAAAGTTTTTTGAAAATGGCCTATGGTTACTGGATGAAACGTTAAATGTGACGGAAAATGAGGTAGGATTATTTAGATCTTATATATGTTTTTATTTTATCTTATTTATTATTTCTGATTAAATAATAAATAAATCCTTTTCCGGCTCTCAGGAGTGATGGATTTTGACAAATGAGGTATAAATAGAAAGGGAATATCACGTAGAATACTCCAATCTTAGTTTTGATTCCTTATTTTATACCACGGCGTAAATAACAGAGAATGTAAAAGTGGGAGGTTTCAAACCAGTTGGGAGTGTCGTCTCAACGAAACGGGACTTCACAAATGAATTTATAATTTCCGAATAACTCGAAAAGTACGAAATTTTAGGTAAATTATAAATATGAGTATTTGAAAGCTTACCAAATCCAGTACAAAACGTAAAAAAAAAAAAAAAAAAAAAAAAAGCATCGATATCTGACGACTTGGTGCCGAGTTATAGTTTTCTAAACATTTAGTATTTGTTGTACTACAAAGATTCTGTTGCATATGTGAATTTAAGATTTTAGGAATTGGCTTTTTTTTTTTTTTTCGGGATACAATATATAATTTATCAATTAGTGAATATTTTCTTTGTAAGAATCTTTTGTTAATTTATGATAATCCAGTGAAGAAATCCAGTGAAGATATAAGCTAATATTTTAATTATAAATTTAATGAAATCCAACGGTTAAACCATGGCAGAGTGTAAATCATTTCTGTAAACTGATAGCTTACTAAATATATTTAATTAAACCTTTGCGTATCAAAAATTATTGAATGGAAGTTGTGCTGAGTCCTTAATGTATTAAGATCAGATACAAATATTAGGCTTGTGCGTGCGACAACAATATTGAAATATATATTTATAAAACTCTATTAAAAAATGCAAGATGCTTAGTTCATTTTTACTATAAACATACCTCGGTAACTATAGTCTGATGAAATGAATCTTCATCATAAACATAACTACTGCATTTTACAACATCTGGCTTTGGCATTTTATTGAAATATCTAAGAGCTCCGTCGAAGCCCCAATCCTCAAATAAAGAGTAATTCCATGCATAATGAACACAGCTTTCTCTGCCCTCTCTATTCATCATAATATAATTAATATATTGTTATGGTGATAACACAAAATGAGACAATGTCTGCTAAAAAATTATCAACTATCACTTACCCTGGGCTACTTATTTTTCTTATCTGTTCCTTTGTCCAGTTAGCTGCACTTAGTTCTGGAATATTGCAGAAGAACGAAGGATTTCCTCCAAGAAATACGTAGGAAGCTAAGTGTACGGAATTAAAAAATACCGGACTGGCGGTAAGAAACAGTATCCATGCCAACCAAGCATGATTCTTACATTTTTTTTCTAAAGCATTTTCTAATGTTATTGAATCCATTTCACTCCTGTAGAAATAAAAACTAATATAAATAATTAGCACAGATTGAATTTTAAAAAATAGCAGTTTAAATCTTACCGAAAATCTCACTGGAAGCGTTTTTTATAGTTTTGAAGCTTGTTATCATAAGGTGAAACGAAAAAGTTAATTATATTGACAAACAATAAAAGAGAAGTATAAAAGTATAAACAAATAATCAGAATTCTTCAGAATATTCATCATTCACTTAAATAACTTCTTCATTTTCACAGTCTCACGAATAACAAATATTACAATAATTATTAATTATAATGATTTAACACCTACAAGAATCTGTGCAACGATGCTTATATCGAAGAAACTAGTGGTAGAGTGAAAACTGGTTAGGTGCTGAAAGGAAAAAAAAAAAAAAAAAAAAAAAAAAAAAAAAAAAAAAAACGACCATGGATTCTTAATAATGAAACTTGAAAATCCCGTAAATGGCCTTCAAACTGATAGAAATAAAAACGTTATTCGAATGTATTTTTACGTAACAAGTCCCTTACCAAACCCATCTTTATAAATACCCTATTATTATATACATATTACGCATTGCTACTTTAATATAGCTACTGATTTAGGATAAATCGATAACCTTTATGAGTCTACAAACGATGTAAGTCAATCAATTGACATAGTTTAGGAATAATTGTAATGCCCTAAACAAAATATAAATAACTAATTGTTGAGGGAACATTGACTCAATCAACCCCCAATCGATGACATATTTGTTGATATTAGAGGGTGACCTCTGTTCACAAACTGTATTTTAAGAAAAATGCAAATATTCAAGGAGTTGGAACTTCTTATTCAAGTTCACAAAAAATTGCAGCTATGAAATTCAGTTTATTTCTATGTAGAAGAAAATCGACATTTTTCTTTTTCATAAAAAAAAAAGATGTAAACAAATAAACGTATAAATAAAATAAAATATAAATAAATGTAAAAAAATGAAAAAAAAAAAAATTGGTAAGATTGAAAAAGAGCTAAGTCAGAGAGGTAACTGATGCGGCTAATAAAAATAAATGATAAGCAATATAACAGACCTGCTCGTTGAAAACATTACGGAAGAATACAACAATGGCAATAGCAACGATACTGAGACTGTTCGTTATACAAGTATGGAGCTGTAACACGTAAACTAAAGCGAAGAAACGTGTTTAATGTTTGAAAGGTGGAGTAAGAATATAATACGTAGTGTGCAAATTATATAATTAAGTTATTATAAAGTTAAATTGAGTAATTAAGCAAATTATATGTGTTAATTAAGTGTGTGTCGTCACTAGGATATCCAGGATTTAATGTTGGAAGGGGGTTTCAGCTCGAAAACTTTTTTTTCATATATATATAACGATAATTATTTTGGGAAAAAAAATACTAACTACCGATCTAAATGGTGTTAAAGTGATTCTTGAACTCCTATTGAATGTAATTATACGAACAATAATACGTTAAGAGATTTTTTTTTTTACATAAAACATGGTTACAATATATCATTTTGGAGGAAGGGGGGCGAACTTCAGCCTGACAAGCCCTCCCTCCCTCCCCCCGTAGATCCACCTGTGGATGTCGTAATAGACTATATAAAGTGGAGAACATATATATTAAATAATAGTATAAATGAATAAATAATGCAATGTGGCATTCAAAACAACTAATTGTAAGTCAAAATTTTCGAATAAAAGACCTCACAGAACATTACCTTGGTAGAATACAGAGTTAAATGAACTGATAAAACAAACTAATAAGCTGAGAAAATCTTATCAATGAACGAAAACAAACGTTAATCTGAGGAAAACAAACGTTAATCTGAGGGAAACAAACAAATCTGAGCAAACAAAACTACTTGGAAAGAAGACCGGAATCGAGCCCAATCAAACATTCAATCATGGAAAATTATAGAAATGTATGGAAAAAACATAATAACAAAAACAATAAGCGCTAAACCAAGTCTAATCTTAAACGAGGACAGTCCTCTCGAACAGACGGAATATTGTATTGAAAACTTAAATATACAAAAAACACCAACAAAAATCAATATAGCACAATAAAATCAATGTAATTATCGTACAGCATATTACAGAGATTTATCCAAATTCAATAACTTAAATTTATCAAATGATCTGGCTCAAAACAGAAATATCCAAAACACTATTTTATATAATAGTATATTTATTGCATTAAATATACTATTATATAATATATTCTTTTTTGGCCGAACCCTCGATTAACTTCTTTTGAAAATACACATTTTTTCTACTGCTTCTTGACAAAAATATATAGGTAAATTTTATTATATGTACTTATATATGTAATTGTTGAAAAATAAAATGGAGGTTCAGAAAAGAATTCCTATTTTCTCTTAAAACACTTAAAACCCTTCTCAGCCATTTATCCAGATAGCGACACAGAGGAAACTCAATAGATCGACCATTGACCTCTTCCTTACAATCCAACCATACAAGGTTACAGGATGTACAACTCTTGATGTCATTACCACTGGACAGTCCTTTATGACGTCTTGGGAGAAATTCGGAAACAAAAACTAAACTCTGACAAATATGATTACAAAAATGCTGACGGACTTGTATCGCTCCTAAATACTTCTCCAGTTACGATCGATTACAAGCCTCCATTAAGCAGATATGGAAATATATAAGTTTTCTCCATTGTCACTTTCAGCTGGTGTACCACCAGACCATATCTTTAAGCTGATTTCACTTTGTAATATTCGGAAGAATCGATGATACCGCACGAAGGACCGAGAAAAAAAGAAAGTTTTGAACTCACTGACAATGAATTAAACCTTATCTGTACATAAAAAAGGAATACTTATGAGGAAAACTAAGATATTGGAAGATCGTCAAAAAACCTACTGAAGTTCAACCTACAGAAGAAGTTCAAATTTAACCAGACTGCAAGAGTGTGATAAGTTCCTAACTCCTTAGGAACAAGTAACAAACTTAGTGGCGATGGTCGAAGAAATAAAAAAAGAAGGCATGGGTTGTTACACCGCTTTCAACTAAAAGACCGGAAAATAATTATTTGTTTGTATCAGACAAACAGTTAAAAGCAATACTTCGGAGCAATAGAGCACCATAATGCGCTAAAATAAAAATTGTTTTGTTAAAAAATTGCCGAGAAAAGGAGCATTGTAGTGAGTGAACAAAGGTTGAAGAATAACTTAATGAGGCCGCTGGCTGGTGATGATTAGTGTTGCGCAAATGCGAGACCGAGACGAGTCTTGGTCCTGCTAACTCAGTCTTGATCATGGTCTTGGTCTTGCTCAATAATCTCGTAACGATCTTGCAGTTACTTATTAGCTTATTACTATAGAGATATTACCGTAATTTTTAAGATAGGAGAAACATAACTAAGACTGAATGAAAAATTAGAGGAATTAAATGCAAAAGTATAGTGGTCATACCAATTATTTATATATAATAACTAAGATTGTCATGTATTAGTAAATATTTGGCCTTAATTTTTATTTAAAAAATCGATTTTTTTTCCCAGTCCTGGTTTTGGTCTTGCTACAGCAACGTGTAAGACCAAGACCGATTTTGGCCAACACTAGTGATGATCAGTAAAAATGGTCGACAGCAGGCAGTCCTGTCTTCTTGCGGTGACTTCATATATATAGTTTAAGAGAGCTCAGATTTTTCTGTAAAACTTCAAATGTGCAGTAAAACAGTGATTTCGTAGTGAAAGACAGTTACCCTTCAACATTCAACAAAAGAGTGTCCTATTTAAAGATTCCATATTTGATTATCCTTAATAAAAAAAAACAAAAAAAAAAAAATGCATACTGAACATGTATTTCAATACTGTTAGTGCAAGAGGTCTTATGTAAAAATTTATTCTTTTACAAGAGTGCATAAAAACTCATTATTTCTTTATGCTTTGTTAGTATAACTTCATATTTTATTGTCATCTGCTATTTTCCATAGTAGCAGACTACTTATATTAGTTGCAGATTGCAAAATGTCAGCTTTAATACAAATAGAATAAAAGTTGAAAATTTTTACATACGACCTTTTGCACTAATAGTGGTATACTATACTAGTGATATACACTAGCGGATCCAGATTTAATTTTTTGGGGGGAGGGAGGGTTCAGCCTGAAAGAATTTTTTTTCATATACAAATAAAGATAATTAATATGAAGAAAAAACAAACGCTGCAAATTATTTCACAATGATCTATTATTTCCAAAAAATTATACATCTAAAGTAACATTACCTTCCTAGTTATAAATAAAAATAAATAAAAGGTGATTCCAATCATTGGACTAAACTTTTTTTCCTGATCTTGGATCCAACTGTCCGCTTTGAGAGCAATGACCATGATGATGATAAAAATTCCTGTCCTAAAAGAGAAATTCCGTGAGACCTTCGGAGAGAGAGAGTTCACCGTGAGAGGCTTCTGGTTTGGGTCTCGCGGAAGAATTCCAGAAAGAACAAGGAGCTTCCTCGAAGAACTAGGTGTCGACATTAAGGAAGTAGTAAAGTTGGCTGAAAATATAGTCCTCGACTCCCTGGGAATCATTCAACACCACATGCATGGCTAGCCCGAGAGTTTTAATTTATGTATTTATTTATTTATTTAATGAAAAATTGAAAACAATTGAGATAAAGAGAGAGAAGTGAGAGATAGGGGAACTAAATGTTAAAAAAGAAAGGAAAAAAAAAAAGCATGAACAATGAAAGGAAGAAAAAAAAAGTATATATATATATATATATATATATATATATATATATATATATATATATATATATATATATATTTTACTCATATAAACACTTCTGTATATTTATATATAAGTTCATTTATTGTCCTAAGGATTAAAGAGTATGCTGTGTATATAACAACCCAATATAATTGGGCCGCAATCTTCAATACTTTATATTTTTATGAAAATAAAGTGTTTCTCTCTCTAGTAATATGCTAAAAAAATAGCATTACTTTGTTACACAATAAAAATTTAAAAAACAAAACAAAAGATATATGTAACCAATGCAGTAGTATTAGTCCGATTTTAACCATTTTTTTTTTTTTTTTTTTTAAGAAATTCCGCAAACGTGTAAACTTTTTGAGTTATTCGGAATTTAATTTTACCATCTCTCGTAACTTTTTTTCCTGCTTCTTTTCGTTGAAGTATGTTATATAGATAATTTTAAAGGGCGTCAAGAAAATGAATTTAGCTATGTTTCATTGAATTTCATGTTTGAATTGATTTCATTGAATCGGTACATTCGTTTAGGCGCTACAGTCTATAGCAACGGGCGTAGTATAGTAGCGCATACATAAGAGAAAATAGTGGACAGAATTCAATAAAATTGACACTGCATTATTTTTTCACCAATATCTACCTTTTATCCAACTTTAAGCCAAATCGAACTAGCCCTTTCTGAAATATTGCCATATCTAAAAAAATACGTTTGCGCGTGCATAAGCGGAAGTGTTGGATGGAATTTGATAAAATTGATATGGGACCATCTTGGCACCAATCTGCATAATCCCTAAAAATTTCATTAAAATCGGATGAACAGTACTAGGTGATATGCTCATCACATCAATTTTACTACAGACAGACAGACACCGAACCAAATTTGATCCTTGATGTCTGAAACATAAAGCGCGAGTGGAGATTTTCGATTCTGAGAACAAAATTTTGTTTAACCTCTAGCACGAACACAATGCTTCCCTACCTTCGGTAGTGAGGGAGCAATAAAAAATAACAAATTTATTAATGAAAAGAGATTGATTACAATAGTCTATAGAAATTACCGCTGTTAACGTTAAGAGATGTTTATTTTAGAAAATTGTCTTTTCAAAAGTTTATTTTCCACCTTGCCGTTTTGATTATTAAATTTGAAAACAAATAATAAAATTTTGAAAAACAAAAAAACATTTATAGTTAAATTGATTTTAAAATTCTAATCAATTCTCGGATATAAACAGAAAAGTAACGGATAAGTATTGGTTTAAACAGTTAAATACTTTTTTACATCTTAGTTTCCCAGGAAAATAAGATCTCGGTGAAGAAGGTCTTCTGCTAACATTTCTGTTTTCCTATTAATTTATTTTTGTATGTGCTTTTTACTAAGGTACCTACAATTGTTTATTTAAAATTGCTTCTACTATACACTTAATAATTCGATATGCTGAAAAAATAATAATTAGATACAATTTTAATAATTACTTAGATTGCTCCAAAGCCAACGACTAAATCACCTTGAACACCCCAGTTACCGAAACAGTTTTGGTTTGGTTTGGTTCTATTTTTCGAACAATATTGGTTTCTTTGCCTTATTTAGGTTTATAAATGGTGTACAGATAAATGAGAAACAAAAAATTAAGTATTGAATGGATTCTTTCGTTTCAATTTTGATTTGTCAATCAACAGTTTAAATAGAATCACTAGTTCGGGTGAAAATTTTTCTGAGAGTACTGATTGTGCGTGTTGAATATCAGCAGGGATGGAATTCTAGAGGGAGGCAGCTAGAATTGCAAATGATTTGTCAAACGCAGTAGTTCGGTGAGGAGGAGGATAGAGGTCGGAAGTACGAGATCTAGTGGGACGGGATTGGATGGAGAATTTAAATTGTAAGCTGTGAAAAATATAGGAGAGTCAATGAGTTTTAATGATCTGGTACAGAAAGGTAGCTAGGAAGTACCATAGGCGATAGGATGGATAGAGCCACTTCAACTCGGTGTAATATATGTATCTTTTGAGATTCCAAAAACAAAATATAATGCACAATTCATTAGACGCTTAAGTTTGGCCTCGAAATTTACCGAGAGTCCACTGTACACCATACAGCCCCAGTCGAACTTTGAGAAAACAAGGAGTTGACAGGGTTTGATGAAAAGTAACGCCTAGATTTTTGACCGTAGTATGGAATAAGATTGGTTAGTTGTTCTGTAGAAGATCGGGGCATACCGGGAAGGATTTGAAACGTGAGAGGGATCCGATCAAGATGGCTTTAGTCTTCTTTGTGTTCAGAGTGAGTCTGTTGAGATTTGCATAAGCACTTATTCTATTAATATCTTCTTGGAGTTTAAGAATAGCATGTGAGGAATTGGTCGGATTTAAGGAGAGGTAAATCTAAACGTCGTCGGTATAGAGGTGGATATTGACAATGCAGGATAGAGAATTGGAGATCATTTATGTAGACGTAAAAGAGGGCGTGGATGAGGAAGAGCCTTGTGAAACTCCTCTGGACAAGGATAAATATTCTGATGGGAGCCCCTTAGGGATTAAACATACTGGGAGCGACTGGTAAGGAAGGATCGGAACCAACTAAGGACACTAGAAGAAAAGGAGATATTATTAAGTTTGGTTAGGCGGATGTTGTGGTCTACTGAATCAAAATCATTGGAGAAGTCAAGGAGAATAAGGATGGTTAGTTTCTGCTGATAAATGGCTGTATGAAGGTCATGAGAAATTTTGATTATGGCAGACTGAGTAGATTATTGTGCTCTAAAAAATGGGATAGCTAGGGCTTGGTTTCCCTGAAATTTCTGTAATATGTAATTGCACTTCAAAATAACAATAATTATTTCAATATCAATCATAGTTCAAAATGAATGTTAATCAATCAATATAGAAACATATTTATTAGTATAGCTATTAGTATTATAACAAAAGAAACTCACCTCATATTGTTGTTCTTGGGATTTTCTTGACCGTCCATTATTTAATCCTTTCGTTGAAATATACAAAAAAAATTTTTTTTCAAGATTTTGATACAGTTGAAATTTTTTCCAATCTGTGCGCACTCTATATTTATCTGCCAGTCATAAACATGTTCATAATCCTATTAATGGAGAAGGGAGGCTACTATTGTTCTCCTAGGAAACTAAATTTTATTAAATATTTTTTAAAATATACATTTCGTTAGTTCCCTTATTTAATATTTACTCACTTATCTACCTCTTTATTTCATTTTTTTTAAATTCCCTTCCTTCAATTTTTTCCTAAGATTTATTCTTTGTTTGTACTCAGACTTAATAACTTGGGCAATAGTTGGCGATATTATCAATATCCTGATTGTTTATAACTAAAGCACTACTGACTATCGACAGTGTGTATTCTAACTTTAGACACAAATTAATATTAAATTTTATATACACTGTTTGCAATACTTTAATAACACGACGCAGAGTGGTCGAAAATGGCATAAAAAAGGCAAAAACACCGAGAAACTTTCAATTTAATCAAGATAATAAAGATAATAGAGTCTAATAAAGATAATAATAAGATGATAGCAAGATTATAAAAACGGGATGTTATGTAGCATGTTGGGTCTTCTGAATTAATGTAGACCAAAACCATTTTGGTAAGACCACCGTTATTATTATTGTTAACTTTTTGACTAATAAATAGAATATATCGACAGCCATACTGAAAAAGCCTGTAAGAACAAAATATAAAAATATTCATAAGACGAAAAAAACTGCATAGTTTTTATTTTATGCACTTTATATTTTCTGGTCAATTGTTTTGCATGCATAAGACAAATACATTTTTTTTACCATATTTCTGTATTAGAGCGTATTAGCGACATTTCCCTAACTTATAGGAATTTACTTTTAACTTACGGGTATTAGTTAGGTAAAATCAACCATATTTATTTCAATAGGACCAATAACTTTTTTAAAAATGATCAACTCATGATATAAAGGACATTTTTCGGCTTTCATTTCTCGCTTTTAATGCCTGAATTAAGTAGAAATTTTTTTTCTTCGACGTCCTACCATACTTACTCCACATCGCCTGCAAGAGCTTCTAGATTTTCTTTAATGCATGAAGAAATGAAATCCAATTTTACCTTAAACGTGCGTAAAAACTTTGTTTTGGATACCGACAATCTCTCCCCATCAGATTTTAGCTGGTATATTAGCGTTTGACCCTTTATGCTTTCTCCGTATCTTTGTGATTTATTTTTTCTTCTTATGTTAATTCTTACCAATAAATTAAATTATTATTTTCTCTTATACTTGCATGAATGCAGCGGTACTTTGGCTTTTTCCTGCCAGACTCATTTCACAGTTATCTGGAGGTTTCAATTGTATTGAAGGTCGTTCAATATTATAATCCCACTTACCACTCTCTTCTTTACTTCGTCTAATACCATAGTAAGTTACCATAGTAAAATTAATAAACAATTTTAATGATCATAACACCTTGAAAATACTTTTGCGCTGTTAAACTTCTACCCATTCGTCGATGTGCAAGATATAATGATCATATAACAAAATAAAAATGAAATTTTTGATCGTGAAAAACTGTATAAAAACGTCACATTAACAAAAGAATTAGATAGAACTGTGAAGTAGTGTTGAAAACATTCGTATCAGAATATAAAATTTAAACTAAAATTAGAAGTCTTCACGAAAAAAAATAAGTTTTCCTTACCTTCGGTAGTGAGGAAGCAAAATATAAATATAAAATTAATTTCTTTGAAATATTTTTACACCTGTTTGTTGTGTTGATGAACAAAAAAGCCTACCTCTTTCCCTTAAAATAATATGGTGCACGCATCACACAACTTTCACTTAAAACTCTACTTAGAATAGAAATTATCATATGGCAATGCCAGGTTAATATAAAAAAAATCAAGTGTATTTTTAACGGAGCTACAGCTTAAACCTTACAGCTAAGAACTCATTAATACCTTAAAATAAAACAAACTCTACTTATTATATCGACGGTAGGCAATAAATATCTTGTAACTCCACCACCTTTTTTAAAGCAGACAACTCCAGTTTCTGAGCTACAGATTCCTAGAGAGTATATTTGAAAATACATCTATATATTAAACCAATAAATAATTATGGATTTTACGACTATCAGTTATTAAACTCTTATTTTTCCATTGTAAAGGTTATTAAAATGAAGTTAACAAATTTTCATAGCCTACTATCTATGTATAGGTCAAAAGTTGTTACACTAAGTGAAAGTGCACAAGCGAACCATTTTGTGGGACTTCTTCGCACAGTCTTGCTTTCTTTGTTCTAATAGTTCGAACAATACTAACGTTCGACATAGCTTCTTGTTTTTTAATCAATCTGACATTCTAGGAAATGAACTAAATTTATTTTTCTATATAAATATATTTTCCTATCAATTGTTTATTTATTTATTTAATTCACCGAAAAAATTCAAAAACTTAACCTCCCTCAAAATTTGAGATTATATCGTATGCGATACATAGTACTTGAAAATCGATTAAAAGATATTTTGTTCATCCGCCGTTCTCCGTCAGTGTCTTTCTCCAAGACTGCTGGACCAATTTTTTTTTTTTAAGATTTGGAATCAAAGTGTCAAAGATCACCCGACGATGATCCTCCTACATCGACATTACCATCCGCCCTTTCCTTTCAACATGGTGGCCGAAAAACCTGTGCTAGTGTTGACTATAGCGCCTAAATGAATGTACCGATTTTAATGAAATTTGGCTAAAGTCTTCTCCCCGACGGCCTGTAAATTAATGTATAAAACAAACTTTAAAAGTACTTTCCTTTCAAGATGGCGGCCGAAAGACCTCTGTCGTATATACCTGTGTGTTTGAATTTCCCGCGTTACGGTGAGTGGTGGGGGCATGTAAGATCTAAAAGATTCTTAATCCTCAAGAACTGCTGGTTTCTCGCCTAACTCATCCACTTGTAGCCACAGAGACAGTACCAACAATGGCACTTGAGGGTCCCCAGGTAATGAAGAGATGTAAGCTAGCATAATCATAGTAAGCTATAGTTGCACAATCAGTATAATCTAGCAATCCATTAAAGGACACTCCACTGCATAAAAGTAGAATGTTATTTCCCTTAATTAGTTGACTAAACACCTGTGAAAGCGCCTGAACAGATGTACCGATATTAATGAACTTGGCTAAAATCTTCTGCTTTGAAGTCCTTTAAATGCATCTATATAAATATCTATAAGTCTACATAGATATATCTATATAACATATGTATTTCCCCGAACAGAAGGTTGAAAAAAGTTATGAGGAGTTTTAAAATTAGATTTACAAACGACTCAACAAGTGTACACTTTTTGTTAATGTATTGGTCATTAAAAAGTTTACGAAATTTCTTAAAAAATAAAAATAAAATCATTAAAATCTGACAATAGTGCAAAAATATTGTTCTAAATATTTTCCCTACGTTTTACTGCAAAGGTTATAACATTTGTTTTGTTTTTGGGTAAATTGTTACATCAACTTAAGCAATTTTGTTTATTTTTCTTAGCAAATTACTTTTCTTGAAAAAAAAAATCCCCACATATATTATTACAGTAAAGCTCGAAATCGGTTTTGTACCAAATATAAGCTCCTGTCATGCTCAAATACCATGAATGGGATACCGTTGGATTCAGAATTTCACGGGGGGTTAGCGAATCGTATTCTCCACTTTTGTTTTTCTTTCTAAAATAAATAAAGTCGATACAAACATTTTGCCAGGCTTCGATACTGGAACGGTGGTTGGTCTGCAGATCGATAAGGGACAAATTGGATCTTGAAAATGTTGATGCGTACAGCAAGACCCGGATAGTTCCATCGGAACTATGGGATCCTGCGTTTTTAAGGCGAAAAACGTACTATTTTCGAGATAACGCAAGGCATAAGATTCGCATCCACACAACCTTACATTAATTGTAGTACTGTCATTGAATATATGTTTCATTTCGTCGACTTGAGGTCTCTATGATCGAGAGAGGGGGAGTTTATATTATTTACCGATGGTGCTTTTGATCGGCAAGCCATATCTTCGTTAATTTTTCATCAAATCTCAAGATTGAGCCACCAATTTTGAAGGCTTCCTTCTCCTTCAGGCTGGCAAAATAGTCCAATCACCCAGAAAGTTCAGGCAAACAAGTTATGAAAGAAAATAAACTTTATTTGCGAATAACTGAAAAATTACACACTTTTCCCTTGGTTTTATGATTATATAAAATATTACTAAATTCGCTACAAAAGAAAAAAAAAATCATCGCATCGGACAATTTTTAGCAATGATACAGCTTATTGAAATTTGTATACATGTTGGTTCCAAAGAAAAATGTAGATTTAAATTAATTTTTGACAGCTGTTGATATTAAATAAGGTGAAAGGTTAATTTAGTTTTGTCTTCCAAAAAAAGTGTTAATTAAGTGTAAATACTTAATTTTTGTGTAATAAAAGTGTTTTATCAAGACAAGATTGCTAAGGACAAAACACCAAACAAAAATTGAGCGGATTTCACCGCCAACAATGGTGGAATCATCTCAAACTGAGGTAAGTAACATGAACTTTAAAAACAGTGATATAAACAATGAAGACGGCTCCTGGAAACTGGTTATTGGTCGTAAAAGACCTATGATAGATTCGAGCGAGCCAAGAGCTCAAAAACGACCGACAGAATCTATCCCAACCTCGAACAGTTTTCAGGTTCTAACCAACATAACTAATTTACAAACAGAAAAAGTTAGAAGAACGCCTCAAAACGATAAAACTCCACCAATTTTTATAAACGGTGTTGAGAATTACCATGCATTAGTCTCATTTCTGGAAAACGAAGCGGGTCCTAATATGTTTAAAACGAAGTCTACATTGAAAGGTGTCACTGTGTACCCAGAAAATCCTGACGTTTATCGAAAATTAAATTCTAGCCTTCGAAATAAAGGTGCCGACTTCCATACTTACCAACTTCCACAGGACAAATGTCCAAGGATTGTTGTTAAACATCTTCACCATGGAACACCAGTCGATATCATTAAAGAAGAATTTAAAAAATTGGGTTACGAAGCCACCAATGTAGTTAACGTCATATCTCGATTTAAAAAACCCCTTTCTATGTTCTTTGTGGACATTACAAAAGAGACATTTAAAGAAGAAATTTTTAATGTTGAATTTCTATATTATTCACATATTAAAATTGAGAAACCGCGTCAAAAGAGAAATATTCCTCAGTGTGTTCGGTGCCAGCAGTATGGGCACACTAAAACTTATTGCAACCATCGACCACGATGCGTAAAGTGCGGTGAATATCATGAAACCAGCTCATGTTTGAAAACCAGAGACACTCCCGCGAAAAGCGCCAACTGTGCCGGTCAGCACCCCGCTAATTACAGAGGCTGCCAGACGCTGAAAGACCTCAGGGTTCTGCGCAATGCAAGAAATCGTCTTCAGC